GATGTCTTTTTGTCTGCTAAGTGGCACTGGAGCTGCCGTTAAATGTTTTATTTGGCACAGAGGTCCTGGTGGGCTTCTGGCAGGGATCAGACTTAGCTTAGCCTGGCTGGCTGTCATCTAATAGCACGGAGCAAAAGCCAGATGAGCATGGAAGGCTGTGGAAGGAAGGCTTTTTTCCTTCCTACCATCAGCTGACAGCCAAATAAAAAATATATCTTGCCATGTTATTTAATCTTAATTGCAATTTGATTTTAAAAACCTTTGTATCTCTCTGAATGTTACTCAGATTATAGACAGTCCAACTCGCCCTAACATTAAGTCCCCAAATAAATCCTCCTTAATTGATCTCATTTTAACTAATGTTCCCCATAAATACTTATCTGTGGGAGTATTTGCAAATGATCTGAGTGATCACTGTGTTGTAGCCACAATTAGGGACACAAAAGTCCAAAAGGTTAAACCTCGCATTATCAGTAAGAGAGACAAAAAACATTTTGTGGAGCAGGGTTTTGTACATGATCTGGTTGATTTTGATTGGGGTAAAATCGATCTGTGTGCTGATGTAGAAACTGCATGGTCTTATTTTTATCTTGGTTTTATGGAAATTATAGATAGACATGCACCCCTGCGTACATTTAGAGTGAAGGGACGAGACAACCCTTGGTTTTCTGCTGAATTATCTAGTCTCCTACATGAGAGAAACAAGGCCTGGGCAAAGGCTAGGAAATCAGGCTCAGAGGTAGAATGGCTACGCTTTAGGCAGCTAAGGAATAGCTTCACATCACAAATAAAAAGTGCTAAGTCTAAGTATTATCTGTCAGTTACCACAAAGAACCTGAATAATCCTGAACATTTTTGGAAAGCCATAAAATCGATATCCACCGGTGATATCCGTAATGAGCTACCTCCGTGCCTTACCACAGCATCTGGCTCTATATCGGACAGGGCCACTATGTTAAATAGTTTTAATGAGCATTTTGTGTCCTGTGGCTCTCTGTTTGATTCTGTCACTAACTCTGCTTCTGTGAACACCACAGTCTGTGACTCTGAACAATGTGGTTTGGAAAACCCTTTTAGTTTTACTCCTTTTACTGTTGATGTTGTTCGTGAAGCTTTAACCAAGTTAGATCCTAAGAAACCGGCCGGCCCGGACAACGTAGAACCTATCTTTTAAAAGATAGCTGCAGATTTTATTGCTCCACCTCTCATTACTCTTTTTAACCTCTCCCTCAGCACAAACACAATTCCAAAATTGTGGAAGTCAGCGTATGTCCTGCCTCTACTAAAAGGTGGGGAGGCCACTTTATTAAATAATTATAGGCCCATCTCTAAATGATCAGTTCTGGCTAAGGTTCTTGAACGCCTAGTGAGTGAGCAGGTAAAGGTGTTTTTATGTACAAATGACATCCTGTCTAAACATCAGTCAGGTTTCAGAAAGCAACATAGCACCATCACTGCCACAATGAAAGTGGTGAATGATGTGGCGAGTATTTTAGATAATAAGTAGAGTTGTGCAGCTCTATTTATTGACCTTTCCAAAGCGTTTGATACCGTCGATCATCGCATCTTAAAGCAGAGGCTACTCAGTATTGACTTATCCTGCCATGCAGTGGGGTGGTTTGTGAACTACCTCTCTGAAAGGTCCCAATGTGTTCATTTTGATGGGCTGTCTTCTGAGTGGTTAAACATTACTAATGGTGTTCCTCAAGGTTCTGTTATAGGTCCACTTTTATTCTCCATCTACATCAATAGTTTAGGTGAAAATGTCGATGGAGCAACCTTACATTTTTATGCGGACGATACCGTTATGTACTGTGCAGGTCCCTCCATTAAGGAGGCTGTTGTTGAATTGCAAGCTGTTTTTAACATTATTCAGACTCAGCTCTCTGAACTAAAGCTTCTTTTAAATGTTGATAAAACCAAGGTAATGCTCTTTTCAAAAGCTAAAAAGACACCAGAGCCTATTTTAGATATTGTAACTACGTAAGGAATAAAACTTGAAGTGGTTGCCTGTTACAAATACCTTGGTATCTGGCTTGATGACTGTCTCACTTTTAAACGTCATGTCAATAACCTGCTTAAAAAACTGAGGGTTAGGCTAGGTTTCTTCTACAGGAACAAGTCCTGTTTCTCGCTCGAGGCCAGGAAAAGGCTAGTCTCTGTGACCTTTTTACCTGTGCTGGACTATGGTGATTTGATTTATATGAATGCACCTGCCAATTGCCTGGTCAAGTTAGATGCGGCGTATCACAGTGCACTGAGATTTGTGACAAACTGTAAAGCATTAACCCATCACTGTACCCTGTATGCAAGGGCTAGTTTGCCTTCGCTAACTGTATGGAGGCTCAGTCACTGGTACATTTTGATATATAAAGCCATGTTAGGGAAACTTCCGTCCTACATCTGCTCCCTGATCTCACGGCGAATTGTAAATGGCTACTGCCTGAGATTGCATGCTGTGGTTTTATTAAATGTGCCAACTGCTAGGACTGTCTTAGGGAAGATAGCATTTAGATGCGCAGCTCCACTGTCCTGGAATAGTCTGCAATTGAAATGGAAACTGAGCAATCTGGTGCCACTAAATGTTTTTAAAGCTCGGTTGGATGCTACTCAATCGGAAGCTGTTGGTACCTGTGCATGTGGATAGTTATGTAAATTGTAACCCCTGTAATGATGCTGTATGATGTCCTTTTTGTTGTTCTGTTTATGTTTTTAATGTTTCATGTGGAACCTACTTGAGCAGGTCTCCCTTGAAAAAGAGATCAATGATCTCAATGGGATACAACCTGGATAAATAAAGGTTTGAAATGAAATGAAATGAAATTTAATTTTAAACCAACTGCCACTGCATCGCCAATTGAAACCAATTTGACAAAGATTCTTCAATATCAATGATTCTTAACACATTAAGGCCCCGGCTCCACGAGAACAAATACGGCAAAACGCATCGGAGTAACGCAAATGCAACCGCAAAAAACCTTCCGTCCCCACGCAATATACACCGGATTGTGTCAAGCTCCACGAGACGGCTCCGTTTACATCCAAACGCTGGAAAAGCTGCAGTACATATGCCGAACCTGTACGTGGCGCTGTAACTTCCTCCACAAAAGCAGCAACTTCCTCCACAAAAGCAGCGAAGAAGAATGGTTGTCATGGCTGCACTTCTGTTTTTTCTCCGCGGTGGGGGCGGAGGGAACCGCGCAGAGTTTTTCGCCGGTCAATGTGTGTTAAAGTTTAAATCTTCATGCTTCCTCATGCAGCAGCTGATCCAGTAAGTAAACCCGACAGTAAAAATAAACATATTTATAACTAGTTTAGGTAGTTTGAGAGGTAATTAAAATAGCTAAGGGTGGTGATCTGATTTGAAGTGTGTGTTTTGCTCCCGCTGCTTCACAGCCGGAGGAGCTGCGTGTCTCCGTCCTGTCAGATTAGACTTCACTCGCGTTTATGTTCATATCGAGATAAAGATAAATAATCTGAATCTGAATCTGGTGGGGAGAGGCGGGGCTATGAAAACGAATGACCGTATAGGCGACTCCACGGCCCCGTTGGACCCCCCAGAGCGCTCCGTTCCCAGATCTATCCACCTTTGGACCCGTTGTCGTTTGCGGGGTCTGTTTCTACGTTTCCCTTACGGCGTCGTCGAGCTTAGAGGGCTATACGCATGAGAAATATGCGGATTCAACCCGTATTTGTCCTCGTGGAGCCGGGGCCTAAGCCTACTGTCAGAGGTTTGGATATTTAAGATATTAAAATGTTAAGAGGATTTGTAAATATGCTGCCCAAAGACTTATGGGAGTTGCTATACAAAGTACGGATCAGTAAAGGATCAGTTTTTTACTTTTTTGTTAAGAAAACAACAAAAAATCTGCTACTTTTTGTTAAAGTAGCTGATTTCACTCTCATGTGTATTTGTGGTGCCCTGAATTGTGTTGTGAATAAACTCAGTTTATACCAGTTGGTTCCTCACTAAATCACATGTGTGTATTTGTGACATCTAAACAAGTATTAGTTGTCTTTCTTGATTCGATAAATATTTGCAAAACCAGTTTTTTGTAATGCTCCCAAGAGTGCATTGATATCCTTTATGGGTAACAAACATTATGCTTCTTAATGGTAATTTAATGATCACTAATCCCACAGGGAACCTTTACCTATGGCAATAGAGCTAGCTTAGCTTAGCGAAAAGGCTGGAGAAAGTGCTTGCCTAGCCTCTTTAGCCTATAATGCTAAGCTAATGGGTCATCACTCTCGCTGTAACATGACAAAATGTTGAAAGTAAATGAAAGTAGTTGCGTACGTACACTTCCAAAAGGTTGACTTTATCCTCAACATTTTGACTTTATTCACTACAATTCTATTTTAGACCTTTCAACTTTAGTCTTGCAATTCAAAATAAGTTAAAACATATACCTCCTCTCATTTTTTTCTCCTTATACCTGACCCATACACTCTTCCGTACTAAGAAGAAAGACAGGAGAGCTAATGATCTTCTCATCTTACTCTGGGAAAGAATTTGGCATATTTCCCTGTTCAACTATCCCAGATGAAGGGTAGACATTCAGGTTCGTATGGCAGTAATTTATGGCTGACTAACCAACACAGGAGAATACATCATGACTGGAATTGCACCCTGCAGTTTTTGTCTGCTGTGTGACATAACACATGTTCTCAAACACACACACACACACACACACACACACACACACACACACACACACACACACACACACACACACACACACACACACACACACACACACACACACACACACACACACACACACACACACACACACACACACACACACACACACACAAAGCACACGCACACACAAAGCACACGCACACAGCAGCAGTTTAGAAGATGAGAGAAAGTGATCTGTTTGATCCTCGGGTTTGATGCGATTCATTTGACATCATGCCCACCCACCACGTCCCAGCCAAGGCTTGAAGCTGCACAGAGCTGATTTTCTTTATTAAGTATGAACTGTCCTTACAGCTCTCCAGTTGTAGCGTGCAGGTCTGTTTGTCCATGGGATACTTGGTCAGATCCATGTTGCAGGCCACGGTGGTGGTGATCCTAAAAAACAAAAAGGTTGTTTTTATTTTTTATAAGGGAAATTCCAAGAATATACCTAAAGCATGGTATTTTATAGATCTAGAACAGGGGTTTTCAAAGTGTGGGAAGGTGAGCCTCCCCTCAGAGAACATAAGAACAGCCGCGCCCCCCCTCCCAATTATTATTTAGTGGGAATGCTGATACAGCATTCCAACTATATGTTCTTCTACGGACAAAATTATTATTATTCCGCCGGAACTTTGCACCTCTTCTCCTCCTGCATTCAACATCGCAGAAACTCTGTTCAAACATCAAAACGTTCAGCTCAGTCGGGAATCGATGGCTATTACTTTTATCATTCATAACTTTCATAATTCCAGAGATACATCCAATCATTCATCACATTTTTAACCATTGAAGTCAATGGAGAAAATCTTCAGACTTGAACAATCTTCATGTGACTTCAACTGCTAACTATTCATTCATACTTTCACTCAGAAACCTCATTCCAACTTTAAAATGTTACACATCTTTCTGACATTATTCGTGTAACACAACTTTTAAATCTGATTCTTACTTTTAGAGATATTAAACATTGTTCAGACCTTGGTAAAGAGGCTTTCTTCAGATTGTAACATTAACTAGAGTGCGTGATGTCACAGCTAGAGGGTAGGAAATCTTGAAATTTGCCTTCATATTTTTTTTTTAAAACTGCCATAATTCCCAAACCCTACATTCCTGAGACATAATTTTTCATGACAAACGTAGGAAAACATCTCGTAGCTTGAAAAGTGATAAATAATTAAGCAAAAATAATTAAACAAAATGCCTCTTGAGGGCATGAAGTGACAAAAACGTTCAACATGTCTCCATTAAAACCCATTGTAATTTCAGGCTGATATTTCCTCACAGCAGCAGCCGCACACCTTTAGTTAAACTAACATACTTCAGATACTCAACTTCCTTGACATGCTTCACGTTTTGAAATTTCACAGATATCTGTTATGGTTCTTCCACAAAACGTTCACATGTAAGAGCTTTATCTCTTATTCAGAACAATGCAAACCTTTGATCTCTAGAGAGCTCGTTAGCTCAACTGTAAACACCTGTGTAATGGAACACGATGATGTCATCACTCCAACTGACAGCAGTCAGTTTCAGCTCTCTCTCTCTAGAGACAGCGAGAGAAGTAGCAGATAGTAGAGAGACGAGAGAGAGAGAGGAGAGAGAGAGAGCGAGAGAGAGGCTAGAGAGAGAGAGAGAGAGCGAGAGATAGAGACGCTCTCTCTGAGAGATCTAGCCTATATATCTCGATATCTCTCTCTATATATCTCTCTATCCTCTTCTCTCTCTACTCTCTCTCTCTCTCTCTCTCTCTCTCTCTCTCTCTCTCTCTCTCTCTCTCTTTCAAATGCCACACAATGCTCGCCGTGAAAATGTTCCAAACGCCCAAAACTTCACAGGTTTGGTAACGATGCAGCCATCAACGCATCTAAGAGTATTATGGGGTGTCATCAAATGCCGTTGCCATGGCGACAGACCACTCGCCATGAAGCACGATGTCGCTGTAAGTCCAATGGAAACGGTCCGATCGTCCCCCAAACTTCGCTTGTATATCACCGGTCCAGCCCTCAATAGCTCTACGTCAATTATGGGGTTTCTTCAAATGCCGTTGCCATGGCAACACAATGCTCGCCATGAAACACGGTTTTCTCATAACTTCAGTGAAAATGTTCCAAACGGCCCAAAACTTCACAGGTTTGGTAACGATGCAGCATCTAAGCATATTATGGGGTGTCATCAAATGCCGTTGCCATGGTGACAGATCATTCACCATCAAGTTAGTTCAAAAGTTTGCAGTTCAAATATTCTGCTGCTTTTCCAAGCCTTTTTACTTTCTTTTCTTCACTCATCACACATTCAAGCCCCCAGTGTTCATGTATCATTTCAATCTAAATTCTTCACTTTCTTCTTACACATTACATTTCAGCATAGCAGTTTAGCGTCAGCTTTTCAGCATAAAGCATTCCCACTAGCAATTTCTTCAGGAATTGCATTCTCTAGTTATTGTTGTTGTTGCTATAATGCAGGGGTGTTCAATTGCATTTCAAAGAGGTCCAGTAAGAGAACATGTCATTATATGCTCTGTTTTCGCTGTCTACCTTTCTCTTTTTTGAGCACGCCATTTGAAATTCCTCGACTGTTTCTCTCCTCATGTCTCGTCTCTGTGTGTGTGTTTGAATCTATCGTGCTGACTCACTGACTGTACCGATTTGATTGGCTGAATAGCGTCACCTCCTTAAAACATTAAACAATAACTTTTTGAAACCTTTTTATCTTTATGTTTTAAACATATTGTATAAAACTCCCCCACTACTTGGACTATTCCTTGCACCCCTCTAGAATAAGCCTGAATGGTCTCAACCATATTGCATCAGTAACGTGCACTTGTTGTTATAACAAGATCGCAAGGACACTGGTAGCGATCGGACAATTGAGTGTTGTTCAGTTTGTGTGTTGTGGAACATGCGTGTGTGTGCATGAGAATATACCAGACACCAATTACAATAGCATGTTCAATTCACTACCTTGGAAGTTCAATAAAGTTGGAACAGCACATCATTTTAGTGAATATGAATAACATACATTTTTGGGAACACCATGAGAATAATTGAAATACAATTACTATCTATAAGCTTTTGATAATATTACTATGTCAAATATATTTTGCGAGGAGTGATGAGGCTGTAGCCTAATAAACATTTTAAACGTTGGTTGTCTGACTGAATGGGACAGTGATTTTGTGTATGAGATAAATAATGTTTTAATTGATATAGACCAATAAGCTATAGCGCATTGATTAAATACAGTTAATCTACCATGCGCATGGGCTGTAACAGCAATGTAGAAACTGTCTGATTGGTATCTCTAGTCTTTACTGAACTGACATTTTTCATTTATATTAATATGGGGAGTACCAGAATCTGAATCTGCTTTATGGTTTTCACTTTCTTTGCTTCATTTGTTCTGTTTTTAATTCAGTAGGTGAACCTGTATGTTCATAATAATAAAAATGGATGGGCTCATGTGTTTCATTGTTAGTGTGTAGAGTACATATACCAACAGGACCTTTGTAAACCATAAAAAAAAACATCAAATAAAGTAGATGTTATTTAATCTGGCCTTTTGACCGCTCAGCCTTAGGCTCTGGTCATTTTGGTGCTTCATCATGTATTTCCCCTGGCACAGCCCTGAAACATTTACCACAGCTGTCCTTTCCTCAACACCTCACATTTCCCACTTCACTCTGACCCTTTTCACAGCTCACTCCCTGACGTGAACATTCCTCTACTGTCCTGCTCTGTGCTGGCAAAGCGCTACCCTCCTCCCAGTTTCCTCTAACAGGGTGTGACCCTAAACTGTGAAGTTATCTCTAGAGGCGCAAAGTTCCACGAGGGATTCTTCTCATCTTGGCAGTGGAACTATTTTCAGAGAAAATTCTTAAATACAAGGATTTGTATTGGGATATGTATGCTGATGATTTCTCTAACTAACTAAGATATTACGATCACTGGAGGAGACAAAAGCATAGTGTCTGAAAACAGGCTTTGTAAAGGTAAATCACATTATAGATTTAATCACACTATTAAATCTATAAAAAAATACCTTAAATAATAGAGGTAATTTACATTTTTAAACCATCAGATGGTTTTCCTACACTGATAAAAACGAGTAAATAATACTATGATTATGTGTTTAAATCCTACAAGAAATTACTAATAATTTTATTTTACTCAAAATCTATCCTTTTATTTAATGTGTTACTTGAATTTGCAAGTAATTTTGTATCTTCATTTTGATAAGTAATTTTAAATCATAGCACAAAGTAAATGTTAACTAAAGTAATGTGAAAACCTGTGAAAAGCTAGTAAAATGTACAGGGCAATGTGAGTAAAGGTGGGCGACGCCCCCGATGACGTCAGAGGAGTTTGCGCACAGTACAGTAGAGATGGCAAATCCGGATCCTTTTACGGACTCGGAGTCTTCTGAGTCAGTCATTGAAGAGATCCGGATCATACGAGTCCTTTGAGTCATATGAGTCAGCATCACCAAGAGCGTAAAAGTTGTTGCATTTCACGAGCATATTAAACTAACGTTATATTAACCTCCGCTACACAGTGTCTTTTGCTTTAATAAAAAATGTTGATCACAAAAAAAAGGGTTATTTTGTGATTTGGCGAATCTGAGTCTGCTGTTGACTCGTGCATGACAACGAGTCTGCTGGATCTCTGGATCTGCTGCTATATGGTTACGGCTCTGAGTCCGCACGAGTCTGCTATGTTTTGCATAGTGAGTCAGGATTTGCGAATCTCTGAGTCTGCTGTTGACTCGTGCACAATAGAGAACCGCAGTGACGCGTCCTAAAACCCGGAAGTAAGTTAGCATTTTTACCATGTCTGGTTCCTTCGACAAAAAGCAATGCAATTTCTCCATAGGATTTTGGAAAATAGCTCGAAATAAGGTCTGTGTTTGACACAAATTGAAGAGACAGATCACGTTTTGTTCTACGACATTAAATACATCAGCAGTGACCCCGCTGGTGATTTTTGAAGAGTTTACGTGTCTGAAAAACGATGGTTGTTAACATGTGGCTGAATAGGACTACAGAAGTTGTCCAGGCCATTTTACGTCATTACACCGAACACGTAAAACACTCCCGCTAAGTTTGTTTGCCCTGTTCTGCTTGAAAGCAAGTACCTGCCTCCTGCAAACTGTTCAAACAAACGCTTCAACTTGTACCATTTAGAATATGTATGTTTGAATATGGATCTTATGTTGGCGTGACGTTGAAGCAGCGACCCTGCTGTAGTTCGTTTATAGCATAACGTTAGCATTTTGCTTCTGGCGACTAGATTTATGATTCGAAAATTATAAAAGTAGGGTAGACATGTGGATATTATCCGGCTGAACCACAGACCTTATTTCGAGCTATTTTCCAAAATCCTATGGAGAAATTGCATTGCGTTTTTGACGAAGGAACCGGAAGGAGTTTACTTCCGGGTTTTAGGACGCGTCACTGCGGTTCTCTATAGCCGCGGGAAGTAGGGGTGCTGGAGGCGGGGCTGCGAATGGTGTACATTTGAAAAACTTCATGTTACTGTTGTTGAAATCTCTCCCCCACTTTTGTCCGCACCCCCTAAGTAAAATTACTTCACAGTTCCAGCGGCTATGCTCGTGCATGACGAGTCTGGATCATGGATGTATCTCTGGATCTGCTATACGGTTACGGCTCTGAGTCCCCACGACTCTGCAGGAAGTGAAGGAAGTTCCCTTGATTCAGTGAGTCAGGATTTGCGAATCTGAGTCTGCTGTTGACTCGTGCATGATGAGTCTGCCTGGATCTCTGGATCTGCTACGGTTACGGCTCTGAGTCCGCACGAGTCTGCAGGAAGTTTCACTGATCCACGTCCCCTGAGCCAAACGATAACTTCTGGCAGCTATCCTACTTGCTAAAGGCTAGGCAGATGGACTGGGGTACATTGTAATGTGATTTTACATGTTATAAGGAGAGTAGCGAGTGACGCAATTTATAGTTTTAATTTGTACGTCACCAGGTGTAGGACTCAAAGGACTCGGGTTAATGGAGAGGGGAGACTCGTCACGACCAGCTCATTACTAGGATCCGGGTTAATGATTCCGGATGAATCAGGAAAAAAAGCAGTCACAGACGGTTGAAGAGAAGAGAGCATGGACCCTCGTCTAAAATGAATACTCGTGGATTTTGAATCATGTAAGTATATTTATGTACTTTATTAACTCTGTACATCCCTGTTAGCTTGTCAGCTTAATGTGGATATCAAACGAACCAGTCTTTCAGCTTAGCAAGTTAGCTAGTTAGCGTGAGCTAATTTAGCCTGCTTTCATGGACGAGGCACTGTGTGTGCATGTAATACTTTAGTAGTTGTTTCAAACTAGTCAACAGCTGGCGAAATTCACCGTTTTGAATAAAAAAATGTGGCAGTGGGGAATAGAGAGGCGAAGTCCCTCCCTTTCCGGTGGAACACATGGGACCTTATTTCGGAAAAATTATGTATTGAAGTCAATGGCGAGAGAAAACGTATCTTTCAAATATAGTACATAACAATCTCATGCACTTGTATAAAAGCATAGGTCAAAGCTGAGAGAAAAGCAAGTTCACACACCAGTGAGCAATGCAGTCTACTCTTGATGTGTATGGAGACATGATTAACTGTGAGCTTTGAATACCCAACCCAATTTACTATAACACGACACCCACATACTACCCTCATGATAGTAGCAATCTTTCCATCAGCAGAATGTCTCCAAAGTGGCTTGTTTTTTTCTCCCTTTGCCTAACCACAACATGTGTAACCATGATAAAACTGTATGCATGAAAAGAAACTGAGATGCACTGAGGCGCAGAGCCTTGAGTGAAGGAAGTCAAATCAGGAGCACGGGCATCTCTTACACAACTGAGGTTATAGCATGTGACAAAAGCAGTTGGATATGTAAATCCCATCATCACAGGCTTAAAAGAGCTGAACAAATTCACTTGCTGGATCATCTACAACCTTTCTATCTATAACCTGTCTGCTTGGCCCGAAGTCTAATCAGAAAGTCAGTGCGATGCATGTTTCAGAAGCTTGCCAAGAGCTCGTCAGACATTAAGCCCTTAGCACACAGAGCAATCAATGCTGAGAAGATGCTAACGGGACTCGCTGTTGCTTCGATAGCCCACAGCTCTTTGTATTGACAGAATGCTTGCTTCAGTATTCATACAATCCAATACCCAGGTAATATAGTAGACAGTCCCTGCTTTGCAATCACATTATCTCAAAATGTAAACCCTGCCGCCTCCCTCAGCCAATTCCTCCTCCATTCCCTGGCCTACTTTTCATCATCTGTTGGAGCAGATAAAACAACACAAAACTGATAAGCTTGTTCGTTATCCCACCTCAGAGCATAAAGGACGGTCCCGTTGGGGAAGATGCGTATCAGCCTGTTCTCCACGGTGATGTCATGGAGGAAGGACTTCTTGGAGTCCACGATGAAGGTGTCGGGGACCCAGAGGAGCTCCACCAGCCGCCCATCCAGGCTCAGGCTCTTGTTGCCTTCAAACACCAAGCGCTCGTCGGTCCAGCGCTGGCGGAGAAAGATGGTAGCGGTATAGTCCTGCAGGATAAGTGTTCAAAGGTCACACCAGAACTATTGGACAACTTCAACAAGCGTTCTTAATAATATGCTGACTCCTGTGTATTTCCTTCTTAAGTTTGTGTTATTGGGTATTGATGGCATCAGGTCCTTAAAGGTCTCCTATCATGCAAAATGCACTTTTTAATGTATTTTATACATAAATATGGTGTGTAAGGGAACTCACAAAGTGTCAGAAAACAAAACCCTCTCTCTTTTCCTCCGTGCCCAAAGTCAGAATCAATATATAATGTTTGTATTATTATTTTCTATTAATTCAGATTGAACATAGTAAAAAAATGTAAATTATAGTGTCCGTCCAAAAGAAACACATTACTTATAGTGAAAACCACCCTTGAATGATGGGATAGTAGACTAAAAGCTTTAGGAATCCAAACTATAACATATAATAAGTACCCTGTATCAAGATTGATGCAAAACAAGTGAAATTTGACCTTTTTAGAGAGCTTTAGAAAAGAAAAACCACTTCTGGGGTCAGTTAATGGGGCTCAGTTTAACTGATTTAACAGTATCGTCTCATGCAGCTCACTGATCCAGTAATGAGTGATGAGCGGGTCCTTGCGCCTGTCGGGGAGGGCAGCCGGTCGTCCCGGCGTCAAACAGACGCGCGCAAGTCCTCCGAAATGAGCCATTTGTCATTTCTATACATTTCACGTCCCAGACTCCCAGGTCCTCCGGCAGCGACCCGGAAACGGATGTCGGCGCGCCGTCTCGAAGGAAAACAATTTCTCTAAAGGCTCGTCGAGGATCGATTATCGAGGAGGCTGTCTGGAGGAGCCGTAACCGAGGATACACTGATTTAGAGGAGAGAGGAGAGAGGAGTCTCTCTGGAGGAGCTATAACCGAGGGTACACTGATGTATTCTCTGGAGTCGATTTCAGCCAACAGTGATGTTTAAAAGAGGCGTGACGCATGGCTGGACTTATGTCAACGAAGCACAGCTCTGCAAACTGTTCCCGTTGTGATTATAAGTTATTTAAGATGATCAAATGTGCATCAGACTTTCTGCCCTTTACCGTTTGTTTACTCACTAATCACATCTCCCCTGGATGTTAGGCTATTTATTATACACCTGCTTTCATTGTGACGCGATGTTTACAGTGAGAACAGCTGCTGAGGTCAGTGCAGAAAGCAGAACAGTGTGTATAATATATATCGCTCAATAATATATATAACAGGCCTACATTTCACACTTTATTGGTAGGCTTTAGGAGATATCTACAAATAAACAGTAGGGTTAGGGTTAGGGAGTGTATAGGCGTCTGTTGTAATGAATATGCCGCCAGCAAAGGGCGTTGTTGGACTGTGTGTGTGTGTGTGTGTGTGTGTGTGTGTGTGTGTGTGTGTGTGTGTGTGTGTGTGTGTGTGTGTGTGTGTGTGTGTGTGTGTGTGTGTGTGTGTGTGTGTGTGTGTGTGTGTGTGTGTGTGCCAGGCAGGTCTCAGTAGTTTATCTGACATATAAATGGTCAAATATAGTACATTCTCCGTTAGCCTACGAGTTCCATGTTCAAGCGATCGACTATTCCTTCGCAATGACATTGGACATGCGCTTAACTTGTCCTGGATTGGAATTTTTCCGATCATTTCCCTAGGAGGAGTTTGCAAAGATGTGCTTAAAATGCTTAAAGGATAAGAATGCTTAGGATGTGTAAAAAAAACAAAAAACAATTCGTCCATCTGTTCTTGAGTTATAAATTGGTGGTGTTTTTGGCGCCCCCTATAGTCCAAAATGAAAATTCTTTGGTGTGCCTATTCCCCAAGACAGACTGAACCTATCCACCAAAATCTGTGATATATGGATACATTGTTGATGAGTTATGAGCATTTCTTTCTAAGCCCTGCCTTTTTGCAAACACGTTTTGATTAATGGCGGCCATATTTATCGACTGAACATGCTCATCTCCTAGGGTAATGTGTGTGACCCTCCACGGATGCTGTATACTAAGTTTGGTGTAAAAAATAAATAAATTGAAATTTAAGTGAATATTTCACTGTTTTGAACATTATGCTAATTAAAATTAAAAAAAAGTAGGCGGAGCTTAACGGTCCAAGAGGATAATTTGTAGAGCAGGTCGAGACGGATAAGTGTGCAAAATGTCAGGTTATTCGGAGTTACGGTGCGACTTTGTAAATTTTTCCGAAATGGGATTTTCAGAGGTGGCGCTAGCGAGCAGGTTGAATAATTTGAATCCATTGACTCCATAATATTGAATTTTTCACCGGTTCTGGTGTCCATGCAAAATTATACAACTTTTGAAGCGTCCTAAAGCCCTCAAAAAGAGGAAACGCCAGCAGAAAAATAAGAAGTAGAATTCCTCCAATAACAATAGGTTCCTCGCACTTCGTGCTAACACACGTTGCATACCGCTATTTTATTGTCATTTTCGGACACCTTAAAATACTGCCAGACCGGTGAAGCCATTTTGGCGAGCTTGTTTTGCCTAAAATCCATTTAAACATTACCCATTGGTGAATAGAGTGAACCGGAAGCTGTCATACACTCTGGTAGCTATCGTAGCAGCTAATAGGAAATCTCCGTTATTGACATAAAAATTGAATGATGGATTATCAGTAATCATTTCAAAGTGACACAGACACATTGGATTAACCTATGGATTAACCTTCAGCAGCGTTTTTATCGTTTGAATGCCATTGAACACAACTTTTGATCAGAACAACAGCAACGGTAAGACTTATTTCCCGATTTGGTCCCGTAAAGCAAATTTTGTTGTTTGTTGTCATTTTGCCGCGAGTTCAGATCGCTCACTGATGATACTTATACCCCTAGAATCTGTGGAATCTCAGTTTGCTAATCGATATCTTGTTTGTGCAGATTCGATAAGTAATAAGGGTATTTATACCTAGAGTTCAGTGCTAAGTGTGTTAGCATTCTTTCGCTCAGGGCTTATTTAGACGCTTCTTGTGAGACTTGTGTTTTGTTTCGGTAAAAATGGTTCGTATCGTCAGTTAGCTGAGTTTCTTCACGTTAATCGGGTATGACACATTAATAGGCCTTTACACCGAGCCTGTTTTTCATGTTTCAGGCTCGAAAATGACATGCCCAAAACAAATGACTACAACTTAAATTCTAAAAGGGTTATATGAATAATTTCTTTTATCAAAGCAAGGTTACATCTGTGAGTTGGATGTAGAAGTGTCAGAATCAATATAAATGTTTTTTATTTTAAAGAAAATTCAGATTTTACATAGTAAAAAACTGTAAATTATAGTGTCCGTCCAAAAACTATTTTTTACAGATAGTGAAAACTACCCTTGGATGATGGGTTAGTAGACTAAAGCTTTAGGAATCCAAAGTACAACATATAATAAGTACCCTGTATCAAGATTGATGCAAAACAAGTGCAATTTGACCCTTTTTTAGAGAGATTTAGCCAAAAACCCCCACTTCTGGGGTCATTTGGGTGGATTTGACCTATCTCGCCCAAATCAATGAAACTCCGTACCATGTTTTCACTGCTACTTTGTACCAAGGCAGATTCTCACATAGCGCGCGCATGTTCAAGGAGTGTTGTCATAGTTGGACAGCTCAGATCTGTTGTATGAAGCGATGCCGGTAGCGGAGGTAAGGCACACACACCAAATGTTCAGGAAATGGTTAATACAGCGAAAATCAAAGCTGACGATCTCTTGGTTTGATATGTTTTCTCCCCCAGACAACATGGACATAAGAATATTTTTTTCAAAGAAGAGGAAAGTAAGTCATCAGCTGGTAGCAGTTAATCAGTTAACAGTGATGGTGGCGTCTCACTTCTGGAGAGGAGTTTCGTCTTTATGTCATAATAGAGAGATACAAATACTGAATAGTTTAGATGAGAAAAGGCATCGAAATGCCAGGTTACTAGTATTTATCATGTAAACAGGGAACATCAATAACCCGATCTCTCTGTGCTCATGTAAACACCATATCCCCAATATGATCATAACCAGGATAATACTCATAAACGGCTTACTGCTGTCCATGTAGAGACGCAGTCAGTGTGTTTTACTGGAGCCTCAGTTCGATAAGAGATTATTTTCTGAGTTCTTTAACTTAGGTACTCTCTCTCAAAATGGTAATGTGCATTATGTTTTAATTATACTTCTTATCATTCAGAAGCTTTTTGTGTGTGTTTATGTTTTACTGAGTGCTTATAGGCTATTTCCATCCCAGTATTCAGTTAACTATTTATTTGCTGTGCACATTACATAGACTAGCTAATATTCTACCTACTGCTTGGGACTTTGAGTCTTCAAAATGTCCAATGTCACAGACTGGGACTTACTTTAGAGTCAGTTGTATTTACATTCAGTATGACTTGTTATGATTCAATGTGAAAGAGTATACTGCTCAATAAATAATTATCACTTCACCACCTCTCTTGACATCTAGGCACTTGAGAGTGAGTCAGAGGCAGAATACAGGGACAGTGGAGAGAGGTCCATTGCTGAGGTGAGTGATGAAAGGGAAATGACAGTTGAGAGTAAATTGTGATGTGGACTCTCATCCCAGGATTTTAAGGAAATCAGTGGGGATATTGAACAGGAAACATTTCAGTCAAGGGGCATCATATGACCAATATAGACAGAAGAGCAACATTTATTTGAACATTTAAGTCAATGATACCATTCCTAGGTGAACTTAACATCCGTATGGAGTCAGATCAGTCTCAATATTAATAAATGCTCACAGAAGGATTCACAAATGTATTTTGCGATTTATATATAAATGACTCTCCACAACAATATCTCTCAATGCACTCACAAATATTTATAGTTGTATATAAATGTACAAAAAATGGGCATTTAAACTGCTTTTTATTAATTCAAAGACAGCTCTGAATTAATAATCAAATATGTTTCCTTTCTTTACTACTGGATGAAATTACAAAATGTACCCATCATTTTCCTCATGCTAGTATAGCCACATAAAAGTATCAAACCACCTGTTAAAATGCACCGGA